AACCTTTTAGAGACCGAGTGCCCAAACTGCAACCCAAAACCCACTTATGTATCGCCAGGTGCCAGGTGGGCGTGGCCCATTGGGTGGGCGTGGCTGTGGTGCTCATGACAGACTGGGTGGGTGTGGCCAAGGTGGGCGTGTTCACCTCGATGTTGCTCGTGGGGAGGGACACCTATGGGGGCCGGGCAGAAATCAAGGGGGTCTCTGACAGGTGGGGCAGTGGGCAGGAGACTCGTCCTGCGGGGTGAGACAAGGCAGGGTGGGGAGCCATTGTCGCAGGACAAGGCAAGGCCGGGGTGGCTGCTGCCTGACACCATCGGCCCCTGCACACAGAGACCAGCAAGCGCAATGGGTGTTGGGATGCATCTAGCCAAGTGGACCTCGGTGAGTTAGCGGGCGGCTGGTTGAAGAGGGACGGTTGCCATCTCTGGGGCGTGGGGCGCATGCCCACAGAGAGGGCTCTGAGTGCCGCCTCTGGCATGCGTGCCATAGATTCACCACCACTGCCCTATGAGGTGAGTTTGGCTGAGAGAAAAAGTCCCTGTGGACTAGCCAGCTTTCGTACCTACGGCAGGACTAGAATTCTTGATTTCTAGACTGATGCCTGAAACCACTGGAGCCAACTGGCTCTTTTCATCTTTTTCTGCTGAAAAGAAATGATATCATCAGCCTGCTTCAAGTTGCCTGATCCTACTTCATGCGTAATCTTTGAATGCAATTCATTCAGTTCAGTTCTGACCAATGCAGAATAAAGTGGAACTATGCTTTGGATATGTACTTATATTGATAAGGCCTAAAAGTACATTTTTCTCTGGGGTTTTTGGCAGCTGCATTCCATCTTGATTCATATTCAGTTTGTAATCAACCAACATCTCAAGAGATATTTTTCAAGGGCTATCTTCCAAAAATGTATGTCTCATCTGCATTTGATTTATGTTACCTACTTCACATTTGCTTCTGTGACTATTTCCAGCCCAGTTCTGTGGGAAGTCAGTCCCTGAGAGAAGGAAATATTAAAAAGGGCAGAAAAAATATATTTCCTCCAAGGATCTTAAAGAGACAGAAAAGCATGCCCAGTTTTTCTTAATAGCCGCAAGTCCGCCTCCCCCAAGCAGAAACCAACTCTGTACAAATGCAGATGTAAACCATCAGGAAGGTTGGAGCTAGGAGATTAGGAAGACAAAGACCTAAAACAGTGGTCGCGAACCTATGGCACGGGTGCCAGAGGCGGCACTCAGAGCCCTCTCTGTGGGCACGCGCGCTATCACCCCAGTCCTCGGCCTTCAGCTGGGTTTTATAAAACCTTTTCGCTTTAGGCCTCTGCCACCATGTTCAAAAAAAAAAAAAAGTTCAATCAGTCAATTTCAACTTCTCGTGGGAAAAAAAAAGATCTTGCAAAGTTGGAATTGATTGATTTAACTTTTTAGTCCCACCCAGTCTGCCGTTACTAGTGAAGCCATGCCCACCCAATGGGCCACGCCTAGCCAATGGGCCACACCTACCCAGCACTCGACGATGCATAAGTGGGTTTTGGGTTGCAGTTTGGGCACTCAGTCTCTAAAAGGTTCGCCATCACTGACCTAAAATCTTCATACCCCACCTTTGACAGGACATGGTAGGAATAACTCACAAAGAGCACATCCAAACTCAGGTCAGAATACATGACACAGGAAATAGCCTCAAAACAGGAACAGGAAATAACTCCAAACAAAAGGCTCCAGAGGGTATAAAAAACCTATTCCCTACATGTGCTAAGCCTTTTTTTCACTTCTCTTGCTGCCAGAACCATCTTCCTGTCTGGCTCTCTTCTCCAATAAACTACAACCTTCTTCCCAAAGCAGTTGCCATGTTTATTTCCAGCTTGGATGAACCATGATGAAGACCTTTCTTCTAACAGTTCTTTGGGCTGAATTTTATTAGCTTCCTGTATAATGTTGTGTCATCTGCAGATTTAACAAACTGCCTCTCTACCTTCCCATCTAAATTAGTAATAAACATGTGGAGCTCCATGATCAAGTCTTTTAGTGCCTAACTCCAGTATTCTTTGAATATGGTTTTCTAATTTTGTCTTCTTTCTATGGAGATTCTCAATCATCAGGTCATGGTTATCCCAAAAGTGCTTTTTCAAAAAGGAAAGAAAAAACAAGAACGTCTACTTGCCTTTGGAGAGAACACCTTTGGTTGTTCTCTCATGGTAACAAAAATTGAACAGGACCCCAGCATTCTCCTGCGAACTACAAAAAACAACAACTATTCATTCAAACTATAAATTAAAATTTATCTGACCAAGTTTGTTTGATCTCAATTACTAGTGATTAAATGGCTAGTTTAATAATCCAACTACGGTACTTGCAGATGGATTTGATTGGTCTTTATTGCCCAGCTGTTCCTTTAATCCTGATTTGAGGACAGAGACTCTTGCCTTCCACAAGTAACCAGGCTCATCACACATTCTCCAGGACTTTTCATAGGTAATAAGAATATAATAAAAGAAACCTGTTATTGTTATTAGGACCATCTGTTCATTTTGAATGTTCATTTTCCTTGTACCAGTTATGGAATTGTGGGCTCCCATCTTCAGGAATTTTGTCTTGAGGTGCTCTACCAGTTTTAATAGTTATTTGCTTGTTATTACAGTGGTTTTGATGACTTGTCAGCTCTGAACAATAATTTAAAATTAAAGTTCACTATACATGTCTTTTAGTTCATTCTCGTTATATATCAATTCTCTTTGGTTTTTATTTGGAATCCCTAGTTTTTATTGCACATATAAATAGCTGACTATTCTGTAGTTCAGTATAGTTTCATTTCATTTTCCAGTAAGTATAATATCCACTGACTTTCCCTCTATTTGGGAGATGAAAAAGAGATTATCCTTTTAAAACCAAGAGAGAAATTGTGCTGTAAGGACCCGCCTCAATCAGTCCTCCCACGAAAGCATAACTCTTGAAAGGACATCATTTCAAAAGGAAGTTTTATTGGGAGATGTTGACAGCAGGAATAGAAGACAGGATCTGAGGGTTTCCTGTGTGAAACTATAGGTCAAAAGAATCAATATTAACCTCACCCCGCTGTCCATCCGGACGTTACAAACAGGCCAATCCACAGGTGTGAAAACACTGTGGGAACGGGGGCAATAAGGCACCACTTCCAAGGCTGTTAGGTCTTTCTGCACTGCCACGCTCCGAGATAAGGCAGATGGCCTGAGGCACATTCCATTCTCACCCCAATGGAGAAACATCAAAGAGGATAGAGCAGGGGTCCTCAACCTTGGCCACTTTAAGACTTGTGGACTTCAACTCCCAGAATTCTGGGAGTTGAAGTCCACAAGTCTTAAAGTTGCCAAGACTGAGGACCCTTGGGATAGAACAAGGAACAGAGCAAAAGGAAATACACATCAGCACCCCAACCTTCCCCCTCCCCCCCCAGGATAATGGCAGAACCAGAAAAAAACAAGAAACCCCATGCCCATAGAAGGACAGGGTTCTGACAACTGCCCCCCCCTTCAACTAGGGCTGTGTACCCAACTTGGGGAAAGCCAAATCTCCCAAACCAGTGTTTCTCAACCTCAACAACTTTTAAGTCTTGTGGACTTCAACTCCCAGAACTCTTCAATTCCTTCCAATGTTGGCTAGGGAATTCTTAAATTTTCCAAAGTTGAACAACACAGTAGTCAAAATGGAAACATTATTTAGTCTGAAATAGAGCCCCATGTAGGTCAATGCTGCTCTGTTCTCAGCTACTTTCCCCACCATATCCCGCTGCCCAGTGGTGGGATTCAGCCGGTTCGCACCACTTCGGCAGAACCGATAGCTATTTTTTTGTTGCCCAGGCCCAAAATGGACTTCCGGAAGCAGCATCCACACAGAGAACCGGTTGTTCATATATCTGAATCCCACCACTGCCGCTGCCCCTCTTTCGCTTGTCATCTCCCATCTATTTAAGGATGCGCAGCTGGAGTTTAGTCGGTGGTGGGACGGGCCCACAGGATCCACTGTGGCCACGCCAGCTAAGCCTTGGCACTGCAATGTGGTAGTGCAGTTTCTCCAAATGAGGGAGATACTTGCTCTTTGAAGTGGGCAAAAAGAAAAAGAAAAAAAAGGAACAGGAAAGAGACAATTAAGACCAGTAAAGACATTTTCAGCCTCGACAAAAAGAATGGAAAGACATTGTTGCACATATGTTATTAGCAGCAACCACTGGCAAAGAGAAAAAATAAAAGTGAAAACCAACTAGGTATTTTTGTTTCAATCCAAGAACTGAGGTGGGCGTTATTAGCAGGAGATCCGTTTTATTTTTCAACAGATAAAACTCGGTGGCCTTGCGAGGTTTATTAAAGTCAACCAAAAGAAATGGTGGGATCTTGTTGTTGTTAGTTGTGAAGTCATGTCCAACCCATCACAACACCATGGACAACGTTCCTCCAGGCTTTCCTGTCTTCTACCATCTTCTGGAGTCCATTTAAGTTCACACCTACTGCTTCAGTGACTCCATCCAGCCATCTCCTTCTCTGTCATCCCCTTCTTCTATTGTCCTCCATCTTTCCCAGCATTAGGTGGCCAAAGTATTTGAGTTTCAACTTCAGGATCTGGCCTTCTAAAGAGCAGTCAGGGTTGATCTCCTCTAGGACTGACCCGTTTGATCGCCTTGCAGGAGTCTTCTCCAGCACCATAGTTCAAAGGTGGGATCTACGTAGCCCCAATCTAGAATCTTTTGAAGGACCATTAGAGGAAATGTCATTGGTTTAGGATTTGACGCTAATTCCCTTTCATGTTCTTCAACGCAATCCCAAATACATGGATTATTGTTTATCTCTGGCAAGTTTCAGGGACTTGTCCTGAAAATCCAGGGCCATATGTGCAAACTAGGGTGAGTGATGTCGTATTGTGTGTGTGCAGGGTACGGTGGTGTGTGTTTGTGTATTTACACCCTTATCAATGACTGGCCGTGTTCCCGCGACACCCACGCAGCCAACCGCTTGCCAGCCCTGTGCGTCTTGCCAGCTCAGCCTGTGCGCGTAGTTCTCGGTCCAGCGCGTTGGCGAACCCGCAGAGCTCTGTGAAGCGCCGAATCTGGCGTGCCGTGTGAACACGGCCGAGCTCGGATCAAGCTGCAGCGCTCGGAGGGTGCGAGCCGCCGCACCGTTACTCGAGAGGCTGCTTTCTTAACCTGCCCTGCTCGAGAGGAGCGTGTGCGGAGGGTGGGGGGGCGAAGGCTGCTGGGAAGCTAAGGCCCCCGGCCCCGGCAATGCCCGGCTTCCTGCCTCTGCGTGAGAGACAAAGGCAAGCGGGCCGCCTTTCCGGCGCTCCCGCCGCGGCCGGAGCTCCGCCAGCTCCTCTTCCCCCGAGCGCGGGCGAGGCCGCTCATTGGCGTTCGCGCGGCGGGCAGCAGATTCCGGCTCCGCCGGGCGGCGGGGCGAAAGCACGCGGCCCCGTCTTCGGCGCCGCCGGGCTGCGCTTTCGGCCTGCAAGGCGCGACCAGCAGGAGGAGGAGGAGGAGGAGGCGGCGCCGCCTCTGGGTAAGGTAAGAGCGGCTGGCGGTGGGGCTGGGGCTGGGAGCCAGGCCGAGCAGGGCAAGTGAGCTTGCGGTCCGCCAAAGGGGCGGTCCGCGTGGGCTGGGTTGCCGCTGCGCCCGCTCGTGCCCAGAGCGGAGCGTTGGTCGAAGGGGGGCGCGCCAGCAGCGGGCTGGGCGGCTCGCTCCTCCGCGGTCCTGCGGGAGGCGTCTCCCGGGCTCGCCACATCCTGGCTCGGCCGAGCCCCGCTCTGGCCGCCCGAGGGAAAGCGGATGGAGTCCATTTTAAGGTCAGCTCCCGCGCCCTTGCCGGGGCTGCGGCGGGGAAGTGGGGAGCCGGTGCCCTTTGCGCAGATGGGCAAGCGGAGGCATCTTCCGCCTCTTCCCGGCCACCGGTCCCCGGGCTCCCGTGCCCCGGGACCTTCCAGCTGGTGCGGCCCTTCTATCCTGCGCAAGAGCCCCCGGGCCGCGGCGCGTCGCTTCGCCTTTTGTGGAGCCCTTGCCGGGGAAAGTGGGCTGGTGATCTGGAGGGGAAACGGCTGTGGGGGCATCGGCAGGCTAAAGGTGATTGGAACGCGCGCCAAGGAATTGGGTGACTTTGGCGTTAGGGATTTGCCTGCAGGAAAAATAAATAGTATCAGATGCATTCTTGGGACAGAGAAAACGACTTAAGGCTGGATTCCTCCATCGCAAGAAGCGCGATATGTTTGGTTTGGTCTTGGCTTAGCGTATTGTTTGAAAAGAGCCCTGGCTAAGATTCTGGCGTGGCTGAGCGCTGTTTTTAGCAGGATGCATGGATTTAAAGTCAGTTGACTGTGAAGAGGAAAGCAATACAGATGCTGTGAATCTCCCCACGCTTGCTGTCAGGGAAACAGATTTTAGCTTGATCTGCAGGATAAGGAGGAAAATCCCCTTTGGCCCTAGTGCTATATCTATCCCTGCATGTTTACTAATGACTGGATTAAATATCATGTTTGACGAGAGGTGAAGAAATGCTTTTTGTGATTGGCAATATTGCAATGTATGTGACGGTGCATTTCTATCGCTGCAAGCTTGCTTGTACTTCTGTGCTGCCGCTCATTCCTGCTGCTGGGATACATCCTGGATAGTTTGTGACAGCACTGAGTGCTGCCTCTTTTCTTCCAGTCCACTTTTGGAATCAGTCTTTAGGAATGGAAAATAAGATTGTTACCTTCTTCTTGTGCCATATCCGTTATCGGACGTTGGCGATCCTGTTTTTATCAGCAGCCACGAAAAAGTGCTGCTGAGTTTTGTCTAAACCTGTCCCTTACATTTTGAAGCCACAGTGTTCTTCTTCTGCCTGGACCTCGTTTGCCTTCAATCTTTCCCTGGAGGATTCAGTGGAGTATGCCGTATTTTTCTGGGTGTCGCATCACATGTCTGAAATATTCTGATTATAAAGTAAAATAACCAAGTGTTTGTTATCTAATTGCCAGCCTTGATTAGAAATATGTTCACTAGATATTGAAATGTGATCTTTTTCATAACAAAAGTCATTTTTGATAGCATTGTTAGTCTTGTTAAAAATTAGCATTAAACAACACTTTTGTTACAACCTCTTGGAATTCGTCAAGTACTGTATTAAGAACTTTTCCATCACAAAGTAAATTTCAACACTCACCAATTTTCTGATTCTATCTGCTGACTGACAAAGAAAAGGGCAAAATGTGATGCTTCCTACCAGGAAAACAAACCCATATCTGGTATAGATGCATTTATACACCCACATAACATTGCAACTGTCAGAAAATACAGCCAGCACGACCAAGACCATGTTTCCTGAGCATTTGTAGAGTTATAATTTTAAAGTACCCAGGAACGGTTGCTGGAATTGGGTATGTCTAGTTTAATGAAGAGAAGGACGAAGGGGACATGATAGTGTTCCAATATCTCAGGGGCTGCCACAAAAAAGAGGGAATCAAGCTATTCTCCAAAGCGTCGGAAGGCAGGACGAGAAGCAACGGATGGAAACTGATCAAGGAGAGAAGCAACCTAGAACTAAGGAGAAACTTCCTGACAGTTAGAACCATTAACCAGTGGAACAACCTGCCTCCAGAAGTTCTGAATGCTTCAACACTGGAAGTTTTTAAGAAGAGAATGAACAGCCATTTGTCCGAAATGATATAGGGTTTCCTGCCTGAGCAGGGGGTTGGACTAGATGACCTCCAAGGTCCCTTCCAACTTTTTTTTATTATTACTACTACTACTACTACTACTACTACTACTACGATACAACCAGGTATTAAAATGGTGTGAAAATAGATGGACGTTTGCATCTGTTTCTCACAAAGAAGGACTCTGAATCTCTTTCTCCATTCTTAAAGGAATAGTTATAGCTCAGTGATTGCCTCCTATACCCACTATTTGCAGTTATGACAATGATTAAAAAAGAAACTTTGTGAACAGTCCTTAGATTTATGGTCTTTACAGGTCTATATAAAAAAGGAAAGCTGAAGAAAGATCATAAAGCATAGTAATGGTTTCAATTAGCAACTACCTTGCTTAACTACCAAGTTGCAAGTCCCAGTTGTAATTGCTAATGCTACTTGCATTGATATTAATTGCGGTTCAGCACTTGGTACACGTTTATATGGAAGGGAGGATTAGAAAAATGAATGGTTGTTGGAGCTGCCAGATTAAAGGATTTTCTCTGGAGTCTTTTGCAAAGAGAAACCCACTCCTGTCCTGATGGGCCTGATTGTCCAATCACTTTTCTGAGCTAGCCTTTACAGCAGTGGTTCTCAACCTGTGGGTCGGGACCCCATTTGGGGTCGAATGACCATTTCACGGGGGTCGCCAAACCATGCTGTCCGCCATTTTTTTCCCTTTTCCCTAGCTGTCCTACTCCCTCTTATTGGTGGCCACACCCACTTGGGGGTCACCACAACATGGGGAACTGTATTATGGGGTCACGGCATTAGAAAGGTTGAGAATCACTGCTTTACAGGATAGTGACAGAGCAGCAGGAGGTAGTTTGTTCTACCAGTAGAAGAAAATATGTGTAGTTCAGGATTGAACTGTGGAGATTGGTGCCCTGCGAGTTTGGCTGTTCGCTTGCAAACATTTTATTACCAGACTAGATAACATCAGTATTAGAACATAGAACATAGAACAAGGTTGAAAGGGAACTTGAAGGTCTTCCAGTCCAAATCCCTGTCTGTGGCAGAAGATTCTATACAACAGGGGTCTTCAGACTTGGCCCTTTTATGACTTGTGGACTTCAACTCCCAGAATTCCTCAGCCAGTGTTAATCCTTATGACCTAAAAGACTTTTAGGAAGCCAATTCTGAAAGTAAAGCCAAGCCAGCGAGAATTGCTGATTTATCTTTTATTTGCCAGGACATATTTCATAGGGTAGTTATATATTTTTGTACAGTTTTATTGCAAAAAATAGTTGCTCCAGCAGCCGTTCCTTATATGCTTTAGCCTCCAGTCCCCTAATCATCTTTGTTGCTCTTCTCTGTACTCTTTCTAGAGTCTCAACATCTTTTTTACATCATGGTGACCAAAACTGGATGCAGTATTCCAAGTATGGCCTTACCAAGGCATTGTAAAGGGATATTAATACTTCACGTGATCTTGATTCTATCCCTCTGTTAGTGCAGCCTAGCACTGTGTTGGCCTTTTTGGCAGCTGCAGCAAACTACTGGCAGTTTTTAAGCTGCCTGTAAAAATAGGGGAAGGCAGTTTAACAGAGTTTATTTTCATACCTGTTTCAAAGGCAGAGGGTGTGTTCTTGTTGGAAATGCAACTAGGAACAAGACAGACTTGTTCTCTCTTCAAATCAGCTGTTCTGAAGTGGTGTCTTGGGATTTGTTTGGAGTTCCCTTTGCTCCTTGCATTCATTTCCTCCATCTTGGGTACCCCAATGTGAATGGGTACTTCTTTGCTGAGGTGTAACTCAGCTGTGCCACGTGGAGATGTAGGAGACCAGCCCAACAAACAAAATGGAGAGAGAAAAAATGGGAGTGGGGCTACTCTGGCTTCTGCCTTCTTGAGGAGTATTGTTTTCTGGCTGAAATAGCAGGGGAAGCGACAGCCTTGAAGTAGAATAAGTCATGGCCAGGAGCAGATGGCTATTTCTGAGGCACAAGCGAAAGTGATATTTTCCAGGCTAAAGGCTGACATAGGCAGGCCAAGCTGTTTTCTCCAGGGAAGGAAAGAGGTAGCTTTAACAGCCTCTCAGCTGGGGGTGACTTGGCCGGTGGCCATTCCATGAGCTGGTTGGCTGCTGCTGTCATTAAGTGAGCTGGTGTTTCATCCTCCTTGCTCTGGAGCAGTGGTTCTCAACCTTTTTAATGCCGTGACCCCCAACCGGTGGTAAGTCGAGGACTACTCAACCGGTCGTAAGTCGAGGACTACTCAACCGGTCGTAAGTCGAGGACTACTCAACTGGTGCAGCACCGTTTGCAGAATGGGACTTTTGGCGGGCTCAGCAGGGCAGAGACAGCCTGGACAATTCCTATTGGCTTTTGAAAGCCAATAGAATTAGACTCTATTCAAGAGAGTCTAGGAGTAGCACAGCTAAGGAAAAGGGGAAAAAAATGGCGGACTGTGTTGTTTGGTGACCCCTGTGAAATGGTCGTTCGACCCCAAATGGGGTCCCGACCCACAGGTTGAGAACCACTGCTCTGGAGGGAAAGGGGACAGTCTCCCCCTTCTCAGCAGCAAAGACAGAGAACTTAGTTCAGTGGTGGCGAACCTATGGCACACGGCATTCAGAGCCCTCTCTGTGGGCACACGCACCATGCCCCGGAGATGGCAGCCATCCCTCTTCAACAGCCACCCGCTAACTCGCCAAGATCCCACATGGCCAGATACATCCCAGCACTCATGTGCTTGCTGCTGGCCTCTGTGTGCAGGGGCCGATGGTGTCAGGCAGCAGCCACCGTGGCCCCTGCCTCACCTTGCCCTGTGACAATGGCACCCCTGCCCTGCCTTGCCTTGCCTCACCTCACCCTGCAGGACGAGCCTCCTGCCCACCACCCCAC